CCTCAGCTCTCTTTTGGTTATTATTTGCATGGAATATCCTTTCTTATTCTTTCACTTTCAATCTGTTTGTGTCTTTGAATCTAAAATGAATCTGTTTTAGACAATGTAGAATTGGATCATGCTTTTTCAGAATCTGTTCCGCCTATCTGCCTTTTAGTAGGAGAGTTTAATTCTAATAACCATGTTTTCTAGTTTCTGTGTTTGGTACTTTGACATCTGGGGCCTTGTTGACGCTAGAGGGACTGCTTCTCACAGGGTTAGCTAATTCCTAGAGATAGCAAACAACTCAGCTGTGAGCACCCCTTTCATTTGCAAACCAATCAATTCGGAGCCTATACCATCAACCACCTCCTTTATCAGGCTCTCACACTCTGGATCACTATCCACTAGCCCTACTCACTCTAGGGCCAGGTAACAGACAGCCGGAGGTACCACTGAGCCACTGAAATTATTCAGATTAGCCAATCCCAAACCTGCTTACCCTACCACACCTGTTCCTTCCCACAAAAGCCTCAATAAAGGCTCTTGCCTTCATTTTTTCCTCACGTGTTCTGCCTCACCACTGACACTGGTGCTTCCCCATGTGGCTCTGTGTGGCATGCTGTACTTTCTGTTTCTAGGGATGATTATAAAAACTTCTTTCTTCATGACGGTTATTTCTTTATCTGTGTATCTTATCATACTTAATTAAAACAAATCCTGGGTACCTTGTAAACATTAATCCACTTACATTTATTGATAGGGAAGAATGAACTTCTGTCCTTTTGCTGTTTGTTTTCTATATATCCACACCTCTTTTGTTCCTCAATTCCCCATTACTGCTCTTTTTCTTGTGGTTAATTTATTTTTTTCTTGTGTACTCTTTTGATTCTGTTCTTATTTCTTTTTCTGCATATTTTTTAGTTTTTTTCTTTATTCGTCCCCCTGGGAAACACAATTAACACCTTAACTTTGTAACAGGTTTTTGTTTTATATAACAATACCAATTTATATTCAATACAAGAACTCTATTCCTTTATAGCTCCATCAGCCTTACTAATAGGCACAAAGACAAATTTCAAAAAAAACAATGAAAATGACAAAGTATTCCTATCCACATATTAAATAGGCAAACAAATTTTTACGTATAACACTCAATTTTATTGAGGATGTAGGCATTCTCATACTTGGTGAGAGAGTAAATAATTACATCCATTTTGTACTCCTATTCACAATAAATGCTGTTATTGACACAAATAATATCTTTATACTAAGTGTGCATATTAACATAGCTTTCTAGTTATTGTTTTATGCATTTGTCCTTTGTCATATAGGAAAAAAAGAGGAGTTATAAACCATATATACAATACTTCTTGCTTTTATATTTTCCTAAGTAGAAGCCTTTACTGTTCTTTATTTCTTTATATGGCTTTGAGTTACATGTCTTGTATTCCTTTATTTCAGCTTGTTAGTCTTGTAAGACGTGGCAGATGTCAGTAAATACAGATGCAAATGAATCTACCTTCTATAATATGAATGTACTTTAAGTTATTCAACCGATCCCCTATTAACTGACATGAAATTATTTCTGTTTTACCACTAACTTGCTTGTACACATGCTTTTGCTTTTATAGATTAGATTTCTGAAAGTAAAATTGCTTCCTCAAAAAGGTATGTGTTCTCTTACATTTCATAGCCTCTCTTTCACATATGTTGAGGCCATAAAATGTAATATAAGACACTTCTAAGGCTTATAAACAACGCCAGGTGATCCCTCTGCTCTCCTGTCAGTAACCTTGGAAACCATGTATGCCATCTGGAATACATGACTACAAGAAAAGTGCAGGCTAGATACCTGAAAAATCAATGGAGCAGAGCCATGCAAGAAAGCCAATAACCCTCATTGAACTGTAACATGAAAGAGTAATCATTTTTTTTAAGACACTGAGATTTTGGATTTATTTTTATTAACTAAGCTTCCTAATATACTACGTTAACCTCACCTCCAATTTCAATCTCCTCTTCACGATTAAACACTTATCAGTTTGATACACACTCATCCAGATTTATATATCTCTGTTTTGCATTTCAACTAAATTTTATCATAGTAAATCTACTGTCCTATTGTATTTACTGAACAGTATTGCTGGAGATGCTTCACTATAAGAATCTCATTCTTTTTAACTACCGTGTGATTTTTCTTGGTATAGACAGATGACAGTTTGTTTGACTAAATTCCTATTGATGACTTAGTCTGATTTCAATATTTTGGCTCTTAAAAACAATGCCACAATAAACATCCATCTATGCTTTCCTGTGCACACGTGTAAATATATCACTACCATAATTCAAAGCAATGAAAGTGTTGGGCTGTATAGTATGCACATATTTTTACTGGTTTATCTTTTTCTTTTCCATTTATAAGAGCTATTGGGATATTAGAGATATTTTCCCATTATCTATCATGGTATTAAAATATTTTTCCAGGCTATTTCTTGTCTTTGCTCCTTTTATATTTTTTTCCTTTATGACTTCTGGGTTTTCTTGCTTGTTTAAGAAGATAATTACTATCACACAATTATAACAATTTTTTCTTAATTTTTATTGTAATATTTTATTTCTGTTTTTCACATTTTCACATTTAATACACTTGGGATATATTTTTGTGTGTGTGGTGAGTAGGAATCTATGTTCATTTTTCTTCTGATTGCATAGCCCAAGTTGCTTGATTCTTTTGTTAAGAAAACAAAAAATTATTTGCAAATATATGAAATCCTTAAATAAATATGCTTATAGCTAAACATTTGTTCATCATCATGATTACTTCCTTAGGACAAATTTGAAGCAGTAGAATTTTATTGGAACATGGAGTATAAAAAATATACAGCTTTTGGGATTTATTGTGAATAGGAGTACAAAAATGGATGTAATTATTTATTCTCTCACTGAGTATGAGAATGCCTACATCCTCAATAAAACAAAAAATTATTTGCAAATATATGAAATCCTTAAATAAATATGCTTATAGCTAAACATTTGTTCATCATCATGATTACTTCCTTAGGACAAATTTGAAGCAGTAGAATTTTATTGGAACATGGAGTATAAAAAATATACAGCTTTTGGGATTTATTGTGAATAGGAGTACAAAAATGGATGTAATTATTTATTCTCTCACTGAGTATGAGAATGCCTACATCCTCAATAAAATTGAGTATTATACGTAAAAATTTGTTTGCCTATTTAATATGTAGATAGGAATACTTTGTCGTTTTCATTGTTTTTTTTTTAAATTTGTCTTTGTGCCTATTAGTAAGGCTGAATAATGTTTATTCTCCACATAGATTTATTTGGTGGATACTTTATTTATGTCATTTCCAGAATTTTCAGGGTATAAAAATCACCATTTTGACTTTTGGGATTCCTTAATTATGAATTATAAACCAGTGGGGTCTTTGATTATAAGAAGACTCCCTCGGCATAGTTCAGCTGAAACAGGGTCTATAGTGAGGGTTTATGAGGCAGTAGTGGAGACCATGGTTTCGTGGGAACTGCAAAATGGAGATTCCAGGGCCAAATGCACAGAGATTCTTACTCAGTGTGTTTGTAAGAGTATGTGTGTGTATGGGGAGACGTGTGCCAGAATTTTGCATTGTAAATAAGCACTCCAGATGATTATAATGGAAGGAGATGACTCTTTGAGTTATACAGTGTTAGAATAATTTTATAGATTAAATTTGGGGAATAATCCCTTGCCTGATGGATTTCTTTTGAAAATATAAATTACAGTTTCTAGAAAAGTAGAGGTATTGCCCATTTTATATAATCAAAAGTAAAAATGGGCACTAGAATTCTAATTAAAATAAATATTTATTAAGTACCCACCATATGTTAATCATAGTACTAATCTATAGTATAATGAAAAAATATGACATATTTTTTGAGGTGCAAAATATAAGAAGTCCAGTTTAAATGTTTAAATGTATATATATGTACATACATCTACACATATATGATTTGTAAGACTAATATATATGTCTAAGTATATATATTATTCAGTGGGGCCAGCAGAGAGCAAAGGACCCAGCAGAAGAGGCAGCAGTGCCCAGAAGGCACGGCAGGACCCAGGGGAGGAGACGGGTAAAGGGCTCAACAGCAGAGGACTGGTATGAAAGCACCCACCTCTGCCTAGTGGACTTGTTGAGTCCACAAGTTGAGTCATGCCAGGCCCTCGCTCAAATAATTGGTGGTTCTATACTATGGTGGTTTGGAGGTTCTGTATGCACAGGTGGGGACAAGATCTCACCAACCACCCCTCCGACTTACTGCCTCATTTCTTCCTCACAGCAGACCCGTGAGGCAAGTATTTTCCCCATGAAAAGACTGAGTCTTAAACATGTGCATCTATAATAACGGCCAGTTTATTCCTCTGGCTAAGAGATCCAGAGGTAATCCAAAGTTTACAATTCTTTTTTATACGTCTGTTACTGAGTTTAAGTGTTTCACTGCTTTCCAAAGGTGATTGACAAGTTGTTGTATTGTGTCTATTGTAGAGGGGTTTTTTTTCTTTTGGCGGCACAATACACACACACAAACACATATTCATTTTTTTGGAAAATGAGAAGATGCAGATAGTCAAAAAAAAGACAAAGAAATTACAGATCACACAAAGATTCACTGTTAACCTTTGGTGTATAATAAATCAGACACTTTGCATTACGTCATATAGAAATGTACATATAAAGTGTATATATACACATACATATAGATACACGCTGTTTTTTCGATTTGTTATTTTCACTTTACAATATACAATGAGCATCTTCCCATGCAAATGAATGAGACCCTTTATTAAATGAGTAAGATTGGGTCAAAAGATGAGATGTTGACAAGTCATATGTAAATCTAAGCAACACCGAATGATTGGAGTAAAATAATGACAAATATTTAGCAAGGAAATGCAAACAGAAAGCAGTGGCAATACTAATAACAGAAAATAACTGAATTTTCAGAGAAATGCATTAAATGGGATAAGGACGGTCCCGAGAATGCCTATGGTTAGAATGCAGAGCCCTAAATTTCTTTCTCAGCCCCCTTATCTCTTCCAAACACCTTTCCATCTCATCTCCCTCTCTTGTCATTTCTTCATCCTTAAAATGCCTATAGTCTATGTCCTCTTTAAATTCTTCGAGAGACTGAAGCAGCCTCTGTCTAAAATTCCATTCCGTTTGTTGGCGTTCAAATTCTCCATAGGGGCATTCTTCCTCCCTCTTTGGCACGCTGCATTTGGGCTTTCCTTCATTTTCTTTGCAGGGTTTTTGCATGATGTTGTTGTTGTTTCCTGCTTAACTCCAGGGAGAAAATGTAGAGACGGATTACTTAGTTACTTTTAAATCGGGATTGTCAGTTTCTCTTTGAAGCAAAATGCTTGCCTTAATCTCCCACCCCCGCCCCACAGGTCCAGCCTCAGAAGTTCGAGCAGCTGAGGCGACGCAGCTCCCCGGTCCCCCAGCCCCCTCCCCCACCTCCGCCTCTTTCTTCCTTCCCCTCCAGGCACACACCGTTTCCCCAGCAGACAAGGTTAATGGCCTCTCTAATGGGAGGGAGAAGGGGAGCAGACGCGGAGGTGGACCGTGAAGCCGCAAATTTTACCCAGCTTTCGCCCTTCCTGACTCCCACCCTCAGAGATCTCGGTCTAAATGCCTCCCTCACACTGACCTGTGCCGACGCGGGGTTGTTTCCTGCTCTTTTTCTTGCTTCCAGATGTGAACACAGACCCTCCGACCTGCAAACAAAAAGGAAGGGGGCGGGGAGAAGGGAGTTCTCCGTGGATCAACCGGCAGCTCCAGAGACAAGACACTCGTTATTATCTTGAATCCGGGATTCTCATCTCTATCGGTCGCCCCCAGTTTCCTACCTCCTTGTTCCCTTCCTATCCCTGCCCTTCGCTCCAGGATTGATGTTCCCACCTCCCACCCCTCACCCTCAGGCCTGGTCCTTGCAAGGCCCACGGTCGCCCTCCTCCTTCTGCCCCACCCAACCACGGCGGCAGGCCAGCATTGAGTAAGGCGAACTATTTTCAAGTTATCTCTAAATTTCTGTTGTCCCCATCCCAGGATGATTTCAGCCTTTCTCCACCTACCAACCCACACCCCAGGCCTACCATTTTATCCGACGGAACTGGAGAAAAACCAGAGAGAAGGATAAAAAGAAAGCTTGCCAGGATTAGAAAAGCCGATTATTTCTAAACTATCACTGAATATCTGGATGTCTCAAGAGACATCAACCTCCCCCTCCCCCTACTTAAAAAGCCACAATTATCTACGACGATTTTGCAGGGGTTTTGGGAAAGCAAGCCTGGACCTATTCCAATAACTAGATTCAGCCACTACTGTCCCCGGGGTCCCAGTTGTTCCTTCATACCAACTTGCTGGGATTTAAGGAATTTACCTCTTCCTTCCCTTGGCCACAAGCACCCACGTCTGCAGGGCAGTGAGGAGCTGGTACCCAGAGGAGAAAGAAGCCCAGGAATATAAGGACTTCAGTTCACGGCAGCTCCTGATCACGTGAGGATTATGTCATCCTCCAACTCTGGTCCCCACTTTCCCCTCCCACCAGCAATGCTGCAGAAGTGGATGGCTTACCAACCTCCCACCCCCCACCACACCAGGCCCTGTCACTCACTTTTGTCTTTGCTAATTCCAGCGGTCAAAAGTGGCCCCTTCTCCCTGTGGTTGGAATTTGCCTTTCTCTAATTACCAGGGAGGGGCTGCATCTTCCCATAGTTATATTAACCATTGTTACTTTTTTAGTGGTTGCATGGAGAGAGAGGATTACTTATTCTTTCCTAGGCTACAAGAACAGAAAAGTACCTACCTTTCCTCTACCCACCCTCTTCTCAGCCACTAACAGCTACCATTTAACTTGCAAATCCTTGAAACCCAGTTGGAGGGAGTGGGGTGAGTTAGGAAAGGAGGCAATGATTAGGATTGTGTTTTTTACTTTTGTCCTGATAATTTCTTATTATTTTCCAATCTTCCCATAAAATTATTGTAAACAATAATCACAAATATGATAAAGATATGTACCTTTGGAAAAATATTCAAGATAGGAAGATAAAAAGACCCAGCCACCTGTTTCTGCTGCTGAATTCATAATATAAATATAAACCCTTCAAGCAGACCCATTTTTGGAAGTTTAAAGTGTACAGGGAGGCTGGGTGCAGTGACTCACGCCAGTAATGCTAGCACTTTGGGAGGCCAAGGCAGGAGGATTGCTTGAGGCCAGGAGTTCGAGGCCAGCATGAGTAAGAGCAACACTCCCATCTATACATAAAATAGAGAAATTAGCTGAGCATCTTGGCACGCACCTGTAGTCCCAGCTACTTGGGAGGCTGAGACAGGAGAATCGCTTGAGCCCAGGAATTTGAGGTTGCTGTGAGCTAGGCTGACGCCACTGCACTCTAGCCCGAGCAACAGAGAGGACCTTGTCTCAAAAAAACAAAAATATACAGGGAGGTTGGAATCTACATTTTGACGGGTTTCTGAGCATGTGGGTTCTTTCATTCAGTGAGTCACTGAGACCATAAACCCATAGCACCTTGCCCTTAGATTTTCAGATCTCAAAAGTAGTCACAAATTTTTACTACTTTGATATCAGTATCATATCCCCTCTCTCCCAGTTTGTCCCATGCCCATAATCCCTTTTTTCCTTCAATACCGTGCCCAAAATATCCCAACTTTTCTCAACACTCTCATTCAGAACAAAATAGCTTTTCATTTTCCCCAGACATCTCCATCCTATTTATGTTTTCCTAGACCTTATTCAGCCATTGAGGAATTAGAAGTTACTTGGAGCACTAACAGAAACTGGTCACATTTAATCATTAAACACACAAAACTTTTCGCTGCTAAGGATTTTGGTACTCACCTAAGTATATTTGTTCTTGATTTGTTAGCTTGAAATATATACGATGAAAGGGAGATGTGTAAAGTTCTTAAAACTTGTTTTTAGGAAGACTGTGGCTCATTATGAATGTAAAGTTGCCACCAACTAGTTAAATGTAAATGGATCCAGAAAAGAGTAAGTGATCAGAAAGAGAAGAGGTCTTAAATAGAGTGGAGCAATGTTGTCACAGATATTAACGAATAATTAGTTGTGACAGAGGCAGAGAATTACTTGGGGTGGAAAGTTCCTAAATCTTCTGTGAACAGCTTTTCATGCAGATGGTTAGACTCAGAGTTATGAAATGGCTAGAAGGATCTAGGTACTGAAGAATTTGCATCTTAGTAAGAAGAATGGCATTGGACAGATCCTAGTTTGAATTAATTGTACTTACCTTTTGTGTAAACTTGGATGTAAAACATGGGTACTAAAACTTCTCTGTGCTTCATCTATAAAATGGGGCTAATAGTTTTAAATATCTCAGAGTTGTCAGGACTAAATGACATAAGTTGTGTAAAAGTAGTATTACTGCATGACTGACAAGTACCAAAGGCAGGCCTGGTACTGGGGTGGGAGGCTGAAGCCTAGGGCTGCTGAGGTCATCTTGCCAGTGGAGCAGGCCCAGAGACTGAGCCCTCAGCAAAGGCCTGGAACCTGGGGCTATGGGATCCAACCTAGTGTGGAGGTGGGCTTGGAGCCTCAGCCCGCAGGTACTGGCCTAGAGCCTGGGGCCATGGGGGCCTGCCCAGTGCGGACTATTACTGGGGTGGGCTCAGTGTTGAGGTCCAAGGCAAAGTCTAGTACTCACTTCCCTTTCCTTCCCCCAAGTGGTTGGTATCTCTCTCCACGCTGTGCAGCCTGGGGTTGGGGGAGGGGTGACATGGGTAATGTAAAACTGTCCTTCCCACCCTCTTCAATGCGTGTTTTCTTATCTCTGTGCTACACCTAGGTGCTGTAACCTCTCATCTGGTTTCCTTATTTCTTATCAATGTATTTTCATACATGGATAGTTGTTCAAATTGAGGTTTCTGTGGGCGGATGAGTACTGGAAAGTCCTCTTCTGCCGTCATCCTGACATCCAGCTCCTCACATCTCAATTAATTTTTAATAAAGCAGAAAAAGAGGGTAAAAAAAGGAATAATGAAAAGATGGGACATATGAAAGCAAATGGCAAGATATCAGGTTTAAACACAGTTGTATTAATAATTACATCAAATATTAATTGCCTAAGCATACCGAGTCAGAAAGGAGAGTGTGATGGTTGATTTTGAGTGTCAACTTGACTATATTAAGGGATACTCAGCTGATAGAGCATTGTTTATTCTCAATGCTTCAGCAGGCATTGAGTCAATCCCTCTTCTGCTGAAAGGGAAACCCAGGTGGTTTTGCTTTTGATTAGAATGATTGGGCTGCCACAGATGTGTTTGTGAGGGTGTTTCCAGAGGAGATTGGCATGTAAGTTGGTGAACTGAATGGGCAAGATCCACCCTGAGTGTGGGTAGGTACCATACAATCAGCTGGCTGACCGATGGAACAAAAAAGTGGAGGAAAGGCAAATTCTTACCATCTCTCCAGTGGAGCCAGGATGATCTTCTTCTCCTGCCCTTGGACATCATAACTCCAGGTTCTCTGGCCTTTGGACTCCAGGACTCACCACCAGCAGCTACCCAGGCTCTCAGGCCTTCGGCCTCAGACCGATAATTACACCATTGGATTTCTTGGTTCTGAGGCCTTTGGACTTGGACTAAGCCACACTGCTGGCTTTTCTGGTTCACTAGCTTGAAAATGGCCTATTGTGGGACTTCTTAGCTTCCGTAATCAAGTGAACCAATTCCCCTAATAAATCCCTTTTCATGTATCTCTCTATATATCCTATTGGTTACATCTCTCTGAGGAACACTGACTAAAACAGAGAGGTTGACAGATTGGGTAAAAATGCTAAAACACTTATGTGCTTTCTATGAGAAACATACTTTAGGCTGGGTGTGGTGGCTCACACCTGTAATCCCAGTGCTTTGGGAGGCCAAAGCAGGAGGATCACTTGAGCCCAGGAGTCTGAGACCAGCCTGTGAAACATAGTGAGATCCCGTGTCTAAAAAAATATTTTTTTTTCAGATTAGCCAAGCATGGTGGCATGTACCTGTAGTTCTAGCTACTCGGAAGGCTGAGACGAGAGGATTGTTTGAGCCCAGATGTTTGAGGTGAGCTATGATTGGGCTACTGCACTCCAGCCTGAGTGACAGAGCAAGACCCTGTCTCAAAAAAAAAAAAAAAAAGAAAAGAAAGAAAAAGAAACACACTTCAAATGTATTAAAGGCAGAGATTTGTTAATAGAAAAAGAATGAAAAAAATAGCATGTAAACACTAATCACAAGAAAAC